TATATATATATATATATATATATATATAGAGAGAGAGAGAGAGAGAGAGAGAGAGAGAGAGAGACGCAGAGAAAGGCACAGGCATTCAAGCATGCATGCACGCATGCAGTACATGCAGTTCATGCCGCATGAAACAGCATAAAAGACGATCACATCCGAGCAGCAGCAGCAGCAGCACCAACAGCATTGGTTGAACTCCGCGTACCACTGTACGTCGCCTTCGTCGCCTGCAGATTTGCCTTGCTGCTGCTGTTGCTTGCGTTGGTGTTGCTGGTGCCGTTGCTGCACTTGTTGTTGCTACTGTTGTTGCTGCTGCTGCTATATTTGCATGCATTTGCATGCGTTTGCTTCTTTATTGTAGGGGCATGCAGATTCGCTCTTCGCTGGGGAGTCCCGAGTGTACATCGATATGCAAGAGAGATGCAGCTGCTCTGCTGCAGCGTCTCCAGTTGGTGTTAAGCATCTGTACAGCTTCTCTCTCTGCTTTTTCTGCCGTTTCTTTGTCTTTTGCAGAATTCCATAAGCCCCTTTCACAGCAATTAAGACCCCCAAAGCGCAAACTTGCATCAAAGTCTTCAAAAGAAGAAATACTTGTATACACCTGATCTTCACCGTACTGCGGCACCTTTACGCATAAATCCAGGTGCCCCGCGTGAGATAAAAGATCCTCCAAAGTGTGCAGCAGCAAAGAATGTTGCTGCAGCAGCAACAGTAGCAGCACCACCAAAACCAGCAGCAACGGTAGCCGCACCAGGAGCAGCAGCAGCAGCAGCAGCAGCAGCAGCAACGGTAGCAGCAACAACAGCACAAGCAGAAACATATATCGTTACGCAATGTACTAATATTATATAATGAAAATGAGTGCTTAGAGCGCCAGCGCCATAAACGGGTTCAGCTGTACATACACCCGGACTCGTTAGTAAGAATCTCCTGCTACCACTGCTGTCTAATATCAAACAATTTAAACAGCATACCCTAAACCCTAAACCCGAAACAAAAAACAAAGAAGGTAAAGAAGACTTCGCCCCAGTATGTGCACAACTCCCGTGCAGCGCTCCTCTCACACGCTGTAACTAAAGTGTCTTCATTCACTTTCACATTTCAAACCCTAAACCCTAAACCCTAAACCCTAAACATTAAACCCTACAGCCTATCCTCTAAATTCTTCACTCTATCCCCTAAGCCCCTACGCCCTAAGCCCTAAACCGTGAACCCTAAACCCTAAACCCTAAACCCTAAACCCTAGATATGTTTGCATGAATGCTGCTGCCGAGGGTGTCTCTGCTATTTAACCGGCGCACAATATTAAGGTGTTTAAGCGAAGGAGTATCCATGAGTTTGAGAGATTTGCAGGTGAATTTGTATTTCTTCTTTCCTTCCCTGTGCAGCATGCAAGAACACAGATAAAACAAAGACAAATAAGCAAAAGGCTCTCGAAGCGCAGCAACGACAACAAATGATTCTCTTTACACCCCAAATATCCCTTCCCATTCTTATAAAAATGCTCCAATACACTCAGACCAATTTCTGCACCTTCTGTATATATATGTATATGTATGTATATATATATATATATATATATATATATA